CCCCAAAACCCCAAAACCCCAAAACCCCAAAACCCCACAGGGGCTCTAAGAAGTTGAAGTAACTTCACCAATACAAAGGCTGATGGAAGACTTTTAACAATTTTAGCTTGTTAGTGCTTTGTGGGAAGCGTCTTTAACTGAGATGTGGGATAGGTTGTGGGAAAGGAGTAGGGATTCGACTTGGGAGACGGTGATGCCGCATTTGTGGATGTTGATGATTTTTAAGGAGTCTTTGAGAGAGCAGTTTTTGATGCCGGCTATGATGTTTTCGAACCTGTCAGGGTGATTGCTCCAGTCCATTTCTGTGTGCCATGGTTTACTTCCTGAGTATTGGAATCCTAGAAATTGTGTCTTGTAAGGAGTTGAAATAGAGAAATCCAGAGAAGGCTTTGTAGATATTTTACAATGACTCAAAACCAATCTTTCAGAATTAGCTGATAACTTTACTATCTGCTCCAGATCATCACTATCAATGATCAGCCAAAACAGATAATTTTCCTTGAACACATTTGGCATTATGCTCTTTAGCCCTTTCAAATAGTATTTGATGTTCACTTCCTTTCCGTAATTAATCCCAAAGTTAAATAGTTTAAGAGAAGACGGAGCTCAGTGAGTTAAGAACTGATTGACACTCTGATCTTCGTCCTTGAAACTAGAAAGTGTTAGCCTTTGGAGTCCGTTTAGTTTATACCTGGCTTCTCCAAGGTTCTTTACTAAGTCCTTTCCTTTGTCTTCGTTAAGGTAAAGTTCCAGTTCTTTAGAGAAAGGATCAAAGTCTAGAGAGGATTTAGAATAAGGGTAATTGAGAATTTAAGTTAAAATTAAAATTAGAGAAGACAAGACAGTTTGGTAAAGAAAGCTGATATTTTGGATCTCAATGTGAAACGAGCAAGAATAAAATAATATAACTTAATTAAAAAGCAAAAAATATAGATTATCTCAATTATATCTTCATTAGAAAAATTTGTGCAAGATGGCGTATAAAAAATAAAATTTGAAGCCTCTTGATATCTTCTCTGCTTAAAAACTGGAGAAAAGTGCTTGATTTAACCAAAAATATATTTTATTTTAAATAAAAGAGTTGGTTATTATGTTAATCAATAAAAACCTTTAATAGATCCAGGAAGGGAACATAAATGAAGAAAGCAGATTAATTGCAAAAATAGTGTTTAACAGTTGCTCATGGTACTAATGGTGGTTACCTTTGATTTCTTTAATGGCTTTTTGCATCAAATATTCTTTTATGAATGCTTCTTTTTTAGCTTCTAGAGATCTAATTTAAAGTATTACCTTCCATTAGTTTATCAGATTTTTGCTGCTCGCTATATAGCAGAGACTCTAGTTCTAAGATCTTTAGTGCTTGTTGCTCAAGACCTGTTTGAGCATCAAGGAGCTCAGTTTCAGTTTTTATTTTTTGCTCTTTTAGCTGTTGGTTCTCACTGTCTAAATTAAATATTTTTGTTGACAAGTCTTCATTTTGCTGTTTAAGGTCTTCTAAGTTCTTGAGATTTTGGTTGATGAGTTGATCTTTCTCTTGGATCAGAATATCTTTGGCATCATTGTGAGCTTTGAATTCGTCTATCTGTCTCTGGAATATTTGTTGGAGTCTATTCTTGCACTCTTTTTCAAAGATCTTCATTTGCTTGAGATGCTTTTTCTCCATTATTTTCGAATGCTTTTTAAGAATCAAGTCAATTTTGTTTGATATTTTAGAACTTGATGAAAACTCTAAAAAATTTAGATAAAGCTCTTTACCGTCTGGAACAGATGAGAAAGTACTTAAAGATGACTGTCTGCTAGCTGACATGAATAATACTTCTCTTATGTCTGCATCATCAGCCATTTCCTTCCTGATTCTAAAGAACAAGAGTCGACAGATCATCAACTTTGAGAAATTTAGATAGATTTTGAACTTACTCTTTTATTTGAGCTTCGAGTGAACAACATTCTTCAAGATTACGCTGAAGGATGGCTTCATTGATCTTTGTTTCAAGTTCTTGCAGGATATCTTTAAAACTAATCAAAGTGTTTTCAATCTTTGGTAGATAAACATTGCATCCATTTGCAAAAGAAAGCTCTTGGATAACCATCACTAGTCTTTGGACTTCTTCAATGCTATTTTCAATCTCAGAGATTTCCCTAATAGCTCTGATCTCTCATCTGTAATGTACTAAAATGAAAATATATCACATACTATCCACACAATCTGCTCAACTAAACACTCGATGGGAGTGTCAGTAATACACACTTGCTTTCGGACACCCCATATCTGCTCATTTCGGTCTAAATCCCATACCACACCAAAGATACGTACCTCTTCACCACCTTACTTGCCATTTTAATTATAACTCAGGTTTATTTTTACTGTTTGGGGTTTTGGGGTTTTGGGGTTTTGGGG